AGTGATGGTTTTTCTGGTCATGTAATAACCTGCTTATTAAGTAGGACTTAAGTGAATACGTACAGGGGGTGACACAGGTAGGGCCTTCAGAAAATCTACATATTTGATGCAGTGTTGAAAATTATCTTAGAGAACATTGGTCTGTTGTTTCTTCATATTGTCTTTCAAATTTTTAACGAAGCAACAAAAGGGCAAAGTGCACAATCTGACAGGCATTAAATAAGATTCCCAAAGAGTTAATTTTATTCTAATTTATTTTTATAAATAAATTTGACAAATGGAGGACAAAAGAAGTGCTGGGCCTAAAAGTTACCTCACAAAGACAACAAAAGGCAAAAACAAATAAGAATTTTGAATGTACTTTAAGAATCCCGGAGAATTATTACTAAAGATTACTTCCTGAAGGCTGTACCTTCGTACCAAATATTGACTTTCGAGCTCAGAATTGCACAAACTATTTTTGCTGCAAATATTTTCTGCTTTCAAAAAAAGAAGAAAAAAAAAAGCAGAATCGGAATACTTTCTTTATCTCTGAGGAAATTACGTAAATAAAAGAAATGAGGGGTTGCACAGTAAACTACTGATCCGATTAATGCTCTAAATGTGGGGTAGGCTTTTAGTTTTTATTTTTACCGTCAGCTGGCATTAACCGTTTGGGTTCGGGTACCTTTAACCAAAAAAACAAACACTATCGAACATTTCCGCATACTGGGCTAGGAAAGGTTTTAGCCAATCAGGTGCCTATTTCAGAGGGACTGATTTCCTGTTGGCTGTTCAGCAGACGCAGATGCACGTGCACTTCCCTCCAATTGGTGGAAATCCTGCTTCAATGGCGGAAAATCATTGAACTGATAAATACACATATTACTGTGTAACTGCGTCTTCCAGTAAATCGATGCGTTCTCATAAACATATAATTAATTCCTTGAAAAACACACAGGACCAGGTCTGTAGAAGCCACATTGAATACAGAGACCGCCCACAAATGCAGCACACAGGAGGAAGGGAAAGCTTCCCGTGTAGTAGAGGCAAATTTTAATTTGTGTCTGCACAATGGAAGGAGTTGCGAAGAGCTAAGAATAAAAAAAAAAAGTGATGCTGAAGTCGCCTGCTTTCTCCTCGACAGGCAGGTCAAGCGGGTATCTTTACACAACGAGTTAAAAAAGAAAGAAAGAAAAACGTAATAAAGGTTGAGCTAATAGAAAAACATAACTCATAACATGACTGCAGCTGCGATCTACTGACGTCTAACAGTGAATTTGTGAACACCGTGCCTGTAAAACAACAACATATTATTATGTTTTTTTTTCCATTCACGCACTGTTGGGCATAACATGTTATAAACCACCAAATAAAGTAACGCATTACTATAATCAGTAACCCAGTAATGTGATGCGTTACTGTACTCAATTCAGTAATTACGTTTGTGCCACTATTTGCATTATAAAGGTTGCAAAGGAAAATAGCATAAAGCTGCTTGCAGCCATGATGTAGAGACCAGACATTAGTGCTTTCCTTTTGTGTTTCTTCCTGCTGTTTGTGTTTATGTAAATGCGCTGCTTTGTGTTATGACTGTAGTCAGACCGTGTCAGCAAGTCAAACAGCAAGTCTAAACAGGCTAAGCTTGTAAAAAAAGCTCCTCAGCTGAATCCTAGTAAGAAGTTCTGCGTGTGAATGTTGACATTATTTGTGGTTATTAATGTAGTGCCAGTATTACTAGCAGATAAACATTCACATATTGAGACAAAGCAAGCAAACTGAGCTTCAAATGAATTTAAAAAGGCAGTCAGTTAATTAAGATCATTTCAAAGCAAGTTTAACTTTAGTTGAAACACAGCTGCTACATAAAACCTTCCTTTAAAAGAAAGTGTGTTTTTTTTTTCAAGCACAGTCAACTGCAGCTGTGTGTGTTTACATGTTAAAATAACTGGATTTTTTTTAAAGTCCGTATTCTGTAAAAATTGTTACTCTGCACTTTGAATTTTATTTTTGTTGCTGAATTTGAATCCGGTTTTAATTAATTTTGTGATACAGCTGAATATGAAGTATTGGATATAAATCCAGCTGCTGTCTAAGCTTTTCTG